TCCCTCTGCAAAGCTCCACAGCATGCCTGGACCATCTGCTCTGTGCTTCCTCCTGGATAGGGCAGCGCTGAGGGAGGACAAGATGCCCTTGCTGGAGCCACGTTCGTTGTTTATGTTCCCACTCCCTCACCCTGGGAAGCCCCGAGTTCCCACACTCACTGAGGCAGGAAGGTCACCATGGACACCTCATCTGTCTGGGCTGCTGACTAACTACTGATAAGCAACAGCTGCCGTCTTCAAGTTAGGGTCACCTCCGAGATTGTCCACCCTGAGCCCAGGCAGCATCCTCACCCTTATGGTCCAGAGCCTCACTGTGACTATAGCCTCAGCTGACCATGGATATTGGATGGCCATGTGGGGACCCATGCACACTCACTTTTGTAGGAGAAGCAAGACATGGCCCAGGAGTTGAGGGGTCTTGCCATGCTTTCTAACTGTTGCAGAACAGGCCACTACCTTCCTCAAATGGCCTTGCTGAAAGCTTTGCATCTCTCCTGTTCCTACATACATTTTTTTTCACATGACTGTAACCACCCTCTGTGAAGATCAGCAGATGGCTTGTGTGTGTGTGTGTGTGTGTGTGTGTGTGTGTGTGTGTGTGTGCCCATTGTGCAGATGAGTAAACAGCCTGAGGATGTTCCAGAGACTTGCCCAGATTTGCACAGCTAGTCAGGGGTAAAGGTTATGTTTTTGCCTCATGTTCACTGGGACTTTCCGCTACCTCAAGCAAGCACACAAGCCCAGTGGATACAGGTCCCTGTTTTTCTCTCTGAAAGAGAGCTGTTCTCCTAGGGTTAACCTGTCTTCCACTCACACCTGGCATGCTGTGGGAAACATTACATCCTTGGAATTTGACTTCCAATGTCTTAGCAGCTATATGATTTGGGACTTGATTTCTCTAACTATTTGCTTCTATGTGCATGAAACAGAGACAGTGTTGCCTAACTTGTGGGGTGGTGCAACAGGTAAGGATACCAACAAATATCTATTAGTATGGTTTTTTTTTTTGTTGTTTTTTGCTCTGGGATCAGTTGGAAGCACTTTGTACATTGAATCATAGACCTCTTACAACTCTGTGTTAGTTCACATATGTTCCCATTGTCCAGAAAACAATGGCACAAAGTAAAGACATTCATCTCAGGTTACATAGCAAACAAGTGTCAGTCAAAAGTCCAACTCATGCTATCTTATTCCAGCATGAGTCTAACGCTCAGCCTCCAAGTTGAATGGACTATGGAAACTGTTCACACTCCACAGTAAGCATCCAACCTACAGTTCTTATGGAGAATCTGAACACACTTGGTTTAATTCAGAAATAAAGGGATACCTAACTGCACAAACGAATTAGCAAATCAAAGGGCCTCCTCAAAATGACCTCCAGCTTGTCCTGCCATCACCACTAGTTAGAAGTCACCCTGGAAATTTGACCAATGTCTGGAGTAAGAGTACACTGACCTCTCAGATTGTAACATAGATGATACTCAACATGCTTCAGGGCCTAGGACAGGTCCCTCACAAAATGTCAACACGATAATATATAGAAACTGCTTTAATATTGAGTATTAAAAATTGAATGAAGTGTACTTTAGTCTTGAAATGCCCTGTGATATCCAAATCTGTCATAGGTCAGAAAGTAACACTCTGCTTAAATTCTATTGATAAATTAACACTGTTCAAGCTACATTGTTATTGTGGTCAGCGCTGTTGCCAACCAGAAGAAATGTGGTTAGATAGAGTTGAGACTTGTGGTAGCACTAGAAAATTGAAGCTATTTTCTCTGTCAAGTTATGTTACCAACTCCCAAATTGCTGACATTTCTTCCAATATGGTGAAGTAGGCCATAAACAAATTCATGGTGATGCCATTTCCTCTTAGCAGGCAACTCTGCCATTCCCAACATCTCTCAGTTCAGGCAGCTCTTGCTTGGTTTTGCTTTCTCCTCATGTACACAACAAACCAATGCCAGAAATTTCCTCTTTGTGGCTCTTTTCAGAAACTTGTATTTCCAAAACAGTAAAATTTTGATTTACAGGGTAGAGCGCTGGCCAGTAGGACAATCTTGGTGCCTGCTGCATGTGTGACCCTCCAGTGATGACCGGCAGAACGTTAAGCTTTCCTCCTTTGTTGAAGAACACTGTGGCTCACTGATTTCATATGACATCATTCATTAACTTGAAGACTCCATCAATAATTCTGCAGGAGCCATATCACTTTTTATCTAGGATGTAATGTAATAGTGGTCACCACATCCTACCAACAAGCACATTTGTCTTCTGTTCATGTTTTACACATCATGAATTGGTTGCTGTTCTGTTTGGGCCATGGTAACTATTACAGTAAGTGAACAAGCAATGGTGGATGGCACTGTAGCTCACAGAGGTTCCGTTCATAATTAGATTGTATTCCATATGCTTATGCTCTATTGGCCAATGCAGATCAGTGGCCATGGCAGCTGTCAGCTTCCTTTACAGACCCCACAAGCTGAGGAGCTTATTCTAACAGTATTTTCCTATTCTAAACACTAATAGGAGCTTCCATAGGAGTGTGACTTTGCCACTAGATTTCATGACCCGCCTCAGCCAAGAATTTGGTCTTGAATTATTATATTTTCAGAAGAATTTCACCAAGATGTGGGACAAGAATATAAAATGGGAAGGATAAAGAGGCGAAATTTTCAGAATCCAATGATGATTTGTTGAGGGGCAGGGTAAGTGGCAATGTCAAGGCAAAGGCAGGAATTAAGGACCGTGTCTCAGATTCCCCTGGGTGGCTGATGAATGATAATGTCAACAAATAGCTTATGAATAGAAGAGGAAGACAGGTTTGGAAGGAGAAAGGATATGCCTATCTTTTAAGCAACCTGTTGCTGGCTTATACCCTTTGAACTCTACCTTGATTTTGACCTGTCTGAGCAAGTCTGTGCTTCTCAGGCCTGCCTTTGGGGTCTGTACCTGTGTGTACCTGCCTTTGAGACATCCATGGAGAAGGAGACAAGAGCCAGCCGTATAGAGAAGTAAGTCTCCAGAGAGATTATGGAGCTGGGACAAAGATATGAGGCCCAAAAGCATTTAAATAGTAAGAACAGCTGCTTGGTTTGTGCTATTAATCATTTACTATGTGCTAGGTACTGTGCAAATAATTTCTATGTTTTCTCACTTAATTCTCACACTGGACCTATATGCTAAGTTGGTCCTATTTAGCCTTATTTGGTAGCTGAGGAAATGAAGCCTTGAGAAATTTTAAAATACAAAACAAATAAGAAGTTGCATAAGCGATCTATAGTGGTTCCTTCTCTGTTGCTGCCATAAAATACAGCCCCTGAAAGCAACTTTGTGTTGCTTATGTGTGGGGAGCTTATTTGTGTTTATGTTTCCATAATGGCACAGAGCCACAGCAGCAAGGGGCCTGAGCAGGAAGCTGGGAAATCACATCAGGAATCAGAGGGTGAACTGGAAGTGAGACCAGGGCGCTGGTGTGCAATGACACACTTCTTCCAGCAAGGCTGCACTGTCTCCCCCAAACAGCTCCACCAATGGAGGGGCTAAGTATTCAAATACCTGAACCTATGGGAGACATTTCTCATTCAAACTTCCACAGGGTCCAAGGTTTTTGTTTCCACAACCCATATTTTAACAACCTCATAGTCAGAACGAGGCCAACAAATGAGAACATCCAGGCACCACTGGCAGAAAAGATCAGAGAACAGTGGGTCAAAGGCACGATCCCAGAGGGTGTGAGCCATTATAGACTAGGAGAAGAGACTGAATAAAGCAGAAGGGGTAAGAAGACACAAGCAATCTCACAAGTCAAGTGTCTGGGGGAGCAAGCAGGGTGTTCCAAAAGCAGAGCTGAGAAGCATCCACTGGTGTTAGGTCCAGTCCTTGCCTGTATCTCTAACCCCAAGGGAGTATCTGTAGCCATCCATATATACCTGATCAGAGCTCTACAAATATATGGACCTCTTTGGAAGTGTCTACTGTTGCTTGCCCATACCCTTTGAACACATCATGTATTTGACATATTTGAGTGGGTATTTGCTATTCAGACCTGGTGGCCTGCTTTTGTGCTCTTGACCTGTGTCTACCCATTTGCAGTTCTGCACTCTTCTTCCAACTTAGAAAACACAGGCACTCACCCCACCATTTTACGTAAGTTAATACCTGCCTCTGCCTTGAGGAATTTCATAAGGTTGGCCCTGTCTCTTAGTCCACACAGCTATATCTCCAGTTGATTCCCTGAAACCCATAAAAGGGGAATTATGGTTTCAAGTGGTGGGTGCTGTAACTGTTCTGTAGAGGAGGCAAATTACTGGCAAAGGGATTGCTGGTTTCACAATCCAAGAAGCTGGTCACACCTTGCCATACCTTGCAGTGCCTGTTGTCGGGACAAGCTCTCTGTCTGGTGGTGGCACTTCGTGAACTTATAATGACATTTATAAATGGGGTGAGAGGACACTTTGTGATCAAGACTTCTTTCAACCGGGAGAGTGGGATGCTGGCCCACCCTCAGCCTGGAAGCCAATATTATGGACCCTTCTCACAGCCAACTGGCAAGAGCTGTTAAAGTAGTAAAGTAATCAGCTAAACATCAGAGAAGGCATCCTAGACTGGGAAGATGGCTCAATTGGTAAAGTGCTTGCTACATAAGCATGAGGACCCAAGTTTAACCTTCAGCATCCACGTAAAAATCTGGGTGTGGTGGCACATGCTTGTAATTTCAGGGCGTGGAGGCTAAGACAGGTAGTTCTCTGGGGCACTCTGACAAGCCCTTAGCCTAATCAGCAAGCCACATTTAAGATACCTTGCTTTTTTTTTTTTAATGAAGTGGACAGTGACACCCATTCTGAGGAAGAATGACACCTAAGGTAATTCTTTGACTTCCATATGCACACACACATCCTCACACAGAGAGAGAATGAGGGGGAGCATATATATATATATATATATATATATATATATATAGAGAGAGAGAGAGAGAGAGAGAGAGAGAGAGAGGACTACTTTGACTTGAACTGAATAAACTAGTATTATGGAAAGAGAGGGTACCAGAATTTTCTAACATCTCTGTGAGTTTGGTTGGGTCTGGCACCAGATAGCAAACAACTTTGTTAGTGTGTATGCCACTAGCAAAGTATATGTCACATCATATTTGGGCATGCTTAATAAGATATCATTAATTATTTATATGGAAGTCGTAGCTTGGTATCCTGAATTTTATCTGGAAACCCTTTGTCTTCACAGCAACTTTAGATTTGATAAGAATCAATAATCCTTGTGATTTATGGGCCTTCCACTTTCCCTAAGAGAGCACTGGAGGATTACGTGAAGAAAAATGCCTTCCACCTCTAGACACCTCGGTAAAGAATACCTTCATTATTTCCCTCCTTCCAGAACCGCATTCCCCTCTGACAACGACGTATCTGCTAGATCTACCCTATCTACTTCCCTCCTGCTTCTGGTTTACCTCAGAGTGTGTTTGGGGGGAGGGTCCAAGAAATCTAATCTGTGTTCCCATAAATTTGTTTGCCTTCAATCAACTTCATTTGGAAAACAACGAATGAAAAATGGCTTGGAAGTGTCAGTTTTCGGGAACCATGATGATGCCTGGCTTCTGGCAACAGTACCACGTGACCATTATCCCACATGACTCTCTAGAGAATGGCCTTTGCCCTTCTTAAGCCATGTCCTAACATTCTGTTGAACACCTCCACACCCACCTGGCCTAATTCTGCTTTCACACTACTTGTGATGGCTTGAGAGAAAATGCCCCCCTCAAAGGGAGTGGCACCATTAGGACATGTGGCCTTGTTGGAATAGATGTAGTCTTGTTGGAGAAAGTGTGTCACTATGGAGGTGGGATTTGAGGTCTCATATATGCTCAAGATACCTCCCAATGTCTCAGACCAAGATGTAGGGCTCTCAGATATTTCTCCAGCACCATGTCTGCCTGCCTGCTGCCCATGTCCCACCATGATGATAATGAACTAAACTTATGAATTGTAAGGGAGCCACCCCAATGAAATGTTTTCCTTTGTAAGAGTTGCTATGGTGACTCTTCACAGCCACAGAAACCCCAATTGAGACACTATTGTAGTACTGGCTACACTGAGTTACCCAAAGCATCAGGACCTCTTAAGCAGTTTCCTAAAATGTGCTTTTAAAGTTCACTGTACCCAAGTAGCCTTGGTCAGAATGTCAGAATGGATAGTGTAAGAGATGCTTAACTGTGTGTGTGTGTGTGTGTGTGTGTGTGTGTGTGTGTGTGTAGCTGCCCTAATAATGACCTCCCAAAACTGAGAAGGAAACTGGCCATGATGTGCTGAGGTTGGCACTATGGTCACGCAACTCAAGACTCCTCTCACCTCTGCTCTAGTACAAGAGCTGAAAATCAGGCACTGCTCTCAGAATGTGGCTGTTTTGACTAATTCAGATTTACACCAATGTAAGAGGCAAACAGTGTTATTATGGCTGTTTTACAGGCAAGGAGCCTAGAGGCAGAGCTGTATGTTAGCTTCTCACTAAGGTCGCATAGACTTTAGAACTTGCAAGAGACAGAAGTTGAGAGTTGCATCCAGGCAATGCCACCCTGTCCTGTGCACCAGTGTGGCAGCTCCATGAGACCAAACCCAGATTGTTTACTCTGCACTTTTGAGACAGACTGGCGCTGCCCACATTGTGGAGAGGGCAGTGCTGGCCCAGAAGGAGCCCTATAGAATCCTCCATTATTCATAACTGAACATAGAAAAGGGCAGGACATGATAGCACACACCTTTAATCTCAGTGCTTGGGACACAGAGGCTGGGGGATCTCTGTGAGTTCCTAGCCATCATAGTGAGATCCTATCTCAAAATAAATAGATAGATAGATAGATAGACAGACAGACAGACAGACAGACAGATAGATTGATAGATAAATAAAACAGGGAAGGGTTTTCTGCTAGAATGTCATCAAACCCTTCTTGAAGTTTGGCTATGAATATCCTCCAAAGACTGTATGTTAAAGGATCAGTCATCAGCTGTGGAGGTGGTACAGCCTTTGAGTGATGAAACCTAATGGGAGGAAAGAAGGTGGTCACTGGGGGTGGGGGTTGTACCTGAAGGAGTCATTGGAACTCTGGTCCTTCTTTTCTCTCCTCTTGGCACCTTAGCCACCACAGGTGAACAGCTTTCTTCTTCCAGGAGCTTCTACCTAGAAGAAATCTCTCATCACAGGCCTCACAGCAAGCACATCAGGTGACCAAGAACTGATGTCATTCATTCGACAAAATAACCCTTTTCCTCCTTTAAGCTGATTCACCGCAGATACTTTGTGACAGTAACAGAGAGCAAACCCAGCCCTGGGGGCTCCAGCTGATGCTATGAACTTCTGCAAGATAGATGTCAGCTCTCAGCTATGCAGCCAGCAACACGAATTACCCAGAAGATGCTTTACCCCGGAAGCTGGAGCACAAGAAGTGGCAGAGTTAGCCCAGAAGAGTCACTTGAGTATTTCTCAGTTGTTCTTTAGGATGATAAATCTCTGCATTTACACGGGGTGCTGGCCCAGAGCCACTGCTCCTGTGGAGGCAACAGGGAGTGGTGTAAAGTGAAGAGCAGTGCTCACCAACATCAGGAAGGCCTGAGCTTTAGCTCAGTCACCTATTTGTGCACCATTACACAAGGGCTGTGTTCTGACGTACTACCACAAAACACTCAGCACTGGAAGCATGGTGAGCCAGGCTTCCTGCAGAGCAGTCATGATTTCTGACCCTCATGCCTCCAAGCCCTACCTGTGGTATTTCCATCTCTGATTCCTCCTCTGGCTGATCTGAGCCTGTGAGGTATATCCCACCTGTCTACCACACCTGGACAAGTCAGAACAGAATACAGAGGGTACACTGTGCTTCTTCCTTTCAGGACAGCTTTTCCATGTGACAGTGGTTTCCACCCTACCATGTTCTCAATCCTTTCCCCCAGTACTATTTGCATTCCTGCAGGCAGATGGTGCCTGGGAAGGTATGCACCAAGTAGAAGGAAGTTTTGTGTTTCAGATTCTGGCTGGCATTGGCTTTCACAGAGATTTGGGTATAGGATGCTACATAATTCTCACCAAAAATGCTGTTTCATCTTCTGCTCATAGCCAAGGGACTATGCCAGAGGCCAAAGGAGTAAATGATAAGGCCACATTTTAAAGTGGGCATTTGGCCACTCTGCCACCAAGCACTTTTTGTTTCTAATTCTCCGGCCACCAGGATTAAGAGTAGATTAATAGAAATTGTGTTCCAAAGAGAGTAGAAACATGATGACATCGTGATGGCTGATGGGAAAGCTCTCCTTGGTGGTTTCTCATTCATTTGTTTTTTAAGACAGTATCTTACTTTGGAGTTGTCCTCATACACTCTTTACAGCCTTGGTTGGTCTCAAATTCACAGCAACCCTCCTTCCTTGGCCTCTTGAGCACAGAGGTTGTAGATACAAGCCATGACACCTGGCTAGGAGTTCTTTTAATTTGCTCCGTTGCAACAGGGATTGTAGCTCAAGCAATGAGGTGTTTCTTCTACAAGTACTTCTTATCCATATCTTCACTGATGGACCCCAACTACTTGGAACCGTGTCTAGTTCATGATCGGTGCTCAACACATGAAGGGCACAGCGTTTATTGAGGCAGGTACATCCAGGTGACATGAAAGTAGCTCTTAGGGGACCAGATGACAAGAGCTTCAGGATTGAGGTGAAGCACCGCTCATCTCCTGTTCACAGGCTTTCTTCCTTCCCACTTTTCCTGATAACAGGCTCTGTTGACTTGTATCTTTCCTCTACCTCATAATTGCTGCTTCTTCATAAACCTGTCTTAGCATATGTTCTGCTTTCTCACATGTTTGGATTGCAACCACCCTCTAAGGCCCTACTCAGTGTAATGGCACCCTTTCAGCTTCATTTCCATAGACAAATGCTTCGTTATCTCTTGCATCCTGACCCATGTCCCGGAAGCACAGAATCGCGCAGACGAAGCTCATCTCTTGCACCTGGGGTTGGTTTTTGGAGAGGCAACCCTCAGGTCACAGTCCACCTACTGGTCCAATCAAGAGCCATTCCTCAGTAAAGAACAACCAAGTTCAGCTGCTCAGAGCAGGGGGCTGTGGGTGGGGCAGTTTCACCTCAAAGAGGAAGTTGGGTGTGGCGGGCACTTTGTTGACATATCCAATATAGGAGTGCCCATCTCTCATCTCTGACAGAGATAACTGTGGGTTTGAACCTTTTACCAGGCACTCCCAGAGAAAGCACAGCCTGATGCACTCACTGGGAACTTTGTGAGTCTGGAGTCTCCATCACCAATTCCCTGCAGTGTTCCTCCTGGGACTACTATGATGCTTCAACCTGCACCTGTTTGGAGTTCATTGGGGTCTGGAGTCTGTCTTCTGTTTAGGTGAGTTGGCTGCTAACTGGACTGCCTGACTCTTGGGAAAGGGGAGTGCTTAGTTTCAAATTTGGTTCTGGATCACTCTTTCTCCTTGGAAAACAATGACTTCACTCACCCCATGCTCCCTCCCATCTACTTTTATCCACTCTGCTTGCTCAAAGTTGTCACTGACCTCAGCATACCTTCCCTTCCCAGGCCCTCCAATCATCTTCTTAGGGAATGGCATTAAGAAGTAGTAGGTAGTGACTTCAAGGAGAACAGTTTTACAGGAATGGTCAGGGCTGTAATCATTTGAAGTGAAAGACAGCTACAGTCAAGAATTTTGTTGTTTTGCTAAGTAATTTTGTTTCTGATTATTATTATTATTACATGATCTCACTGTTTCGAAGAAAATATGAACAACAAATTCTATTTTTTGAGATTTACTTTATTTTTGCTTATGTGTGCTTGTGTGTCTGTGTGGGGGTTTATGCACATGAGTGAAGGTTCCTGTGGAGACCAGAAGAGGGCATCAGATTCCCTGGAGCTGGAGATGCAGGTAGATGTGTAACCACCTGATAGGAGTGCTGGGAACCAAACTCAGGCCCCCTGGAAGAGCAGTTAAGGGGTCTTAAGTCTGATTCATCTCTCCAGGCTCTAAAGATTCATTTTTATTTTCTAAAGTTGTATGTATGTGCACGTGTCTGTGTGAGTGCATGCCACATGTGGGTGCAATCCAAGGCCAGAAGAAGACATGAGATTCCCCAGAGGAGGAGTTACAGGTGGCTGTGAGCCCTCTGATGTGGTGCTGGGAAAAGAACTCAGTTCTTTGGGAAGAGCAGACAGTACGCTTAACCACTGAGCAAATTCTGCAGTCCAATATTTATCTAGTAGTAACAGCAAATTTATAATGTCTCATTAATGTACTAGCTAAATGATTATGGTAGTTTCTAATTTTTGAGCACCTATATCAAATAGAAGATTTATGATAAGAACTTTGTAACATTTCCACTTTTTGTGTAATACAAAATTCTAGCTGAGTAGAATCTTGACAAACAGATCTGCCGTGCAGAGAAGGTCAACATCCCTTTTCCTTGGGTATCAATGGGTGTCCATTGGATTACAAGGGACTGAGAATTTTGCTGGGGCAAAACCCTAGATCTTTGATTCACTGGGGGTTTAGTGAGATGTCTAAGAGAGACTAATGGGATGGCAGATATAGGTGACCTCGAGAAGGCACAGTCTGGAGGGAGTAATCTCAATGGCAAGGCTTGTCTTTTGGCTTAGGAGACCATGGCCAACCCACATCATGAGCAAGCCCTGACCCAGTATGTATCTTCTCAGAGAGAAACAAAAGTGTGCCTCTGTGTAATATGAACCATTTTCTGCAAGTCTGTAGTACTCTAGGGCCAGCCACCCAAAGAGTACCTGAACATGACATGAGGAAGAGAGCTTTCCACTTCCTGCTTTAAGAAAATATGCTGGCAGGCATCCCATAGGCTGCCTTGGCCCTTGATATCCTATAGAATCAATACCATGGCAGCCATGATGGCAGGAAAAGATTTCTTACAACTTGTTGCAAGATACTAGCAATTGTTTCATTTAGTTTTATAGTAACACTTCGCCATATGCATTGATGCTGAAAGCATGCACGGTCTTACTTCCTGTTTTTCAAAGGCATCATTGACAGGGGCAGCCACACAGGGCTCCCCACTCATGCACTGATTTGGGTTTCCAGCTCATAGCTGAGCTGTCACTGTGGGTCCAGCCAAGTTCACCAATCACGATGATGATAGCAGTGGGTTTAGAACACAGGTCTGGTCACACAATACATAGGGGACCTCCCTGTCAACCTCACCCGAGTACCTTGCACCTTAGCTCTCCTTAGTACTCACAGATATTTCATATTCTTCAATCCTTCCAATTCCTTCGTTTTTTTCTTTTCCTTTTACATTTTTGTCATATTTATTTTTTGTTCATGTGTGTTGGTGAATGGGTGTGAATGTACATGCCAAAGCACATGTGAGGTGGTCAGAGAAAAATCCATTCTCTCCCACCATATAGGACCCAGGGATGGAACTCAGATTGTTGGACTTGGCGGCAGACACTTTTATCACTAAGCCATCTCACCAGGCCATTTGTGTTAGGGTTTCTATTACTGTGATGAAACACCATGGCCAAAGAAACCTGGGGAAGAAAGGGTTTATTTGGCTTATGCTTCCATATCACAGTCAGGACAGGAACTCAAGCAGGGCAGGGACCTGGAGACAGGAGCTGATGCAGAGGCCATAGAGGATGCTGCTTACTGGCTTGCTCCTCATGACTGGCTCAGCATGCTTTATTATAGAACCCAGGACCACCAGCTCAGGAAAGACACCACCCATAATAGGTGAGCCCCATCCCCATCAATCACTATTTAAGAAAATGCCTTACTGGCTTGCCTACAGCCCAGTCTTACAGAAGCATTTTCTCAATTGAGGCTTCCCTCCTCGATGATGACTCTAGCTTGTGTCAAGTTGACATAAAACTAGCCAGGATACCGTTGTTGTTCTTTTGCTTATCTTGCAATGTAAACACCATAGAAGGACTATGCCGGCCTGTTTATCTTTGTGTGCCCTGGACCACTAGCTGGTATAAAGTGTTTAATATGCATTAAGTTAATCCACTTTGTGAGTTTCTCAGAAATATTTGGGGAAAGATTAAAAACTATCAAAATCTTTAATTGCAGACTAGAGAAACCCAGAACTTTTCTTTATGCTGTAACAACCCTACAATGGAAGTATTCTGATATGCTTGTTTTTTACACAAGGAAACTGAGGGATTAGAATAAAAGCAACTTGCCTCTGGCCCCATAGATATTAAATAGACCACAGTTGGTAAAACCGGTATAAGAAACTGTAGACTGTATTTCTGTAGTGGAGGCAGGAGCCAGGGAAAGCCTTAACTAATATGGTAGAAACCGGGGAAAGGATAACAAGCAAAGCATAATGGTCCACACATTGCAACCTCAGCATTCGGGATGCTGAGATTGGAAGATCATGAACTTAAGGCCAGCCTGGGCAACATAGTGAGATCTTGTTTCAGAAAACAAAAGAAGAGCTCTTTTCATGGCATCTCCTAGGCAGTCTGCCATGTCAAGATGAAGTCAATGTCTCCTTGCCACCCACTGGCTGTCAGAACTCATTGAAGTGGATGATGAACACACACATTTTACTTTATCTGAGAAACGCATGGCCACAGAAGTAGTTGCTGATGCTCTGATGAAGAGTGGAAGGGCCATGTGGTCCCATCAGTGGTGGGAATAACAAGCAAGGCTTTCCTGTGAAGCAGAGAGTCTTGACTCATGGTGGATATGCACTTGCTGTCGAATCAGGGGCATTCTTGTTATAGACCCAGGAGAACTGGAGAGAAGAAGTGCAAAGCTGTTTCTGGATGTATTGTGGATGCCAACCTGAGTTGTCAACTTGGTTACTGTACAAAAAGGAGAGAAGGATATTTCTGAACTGACAGATATTACGGTGCCTTGGCAATTGGGAACCAAGAGAGCTAGCAGAATCCAAAAGCTTTTCAGTCTCCCTAGAGAAGATGACATCCACCAATATGTTGTCAGAAAGCCCCTAAACAGAGGTCAGAATCCCAGGACCAAAGCACGTGAAATTCAGTATCCTGTTACTCCACTTGTCCTTCAACACACATGCTGGCATATTACTCTTAAGAAATAACACACCAAGAAGAAAGAGGAGGCTGCAGAATATGCTAAACTTTTAGCCAATAGAATGAGGAAACCAAAGAAAATGCCAGGAACAGATTATGGAGAGATGTAGGCTATCCTTGCTGAGAGCTTCCACTTCTGAGTTGGGGGTCCAGGGGAGGGCTTTTAACAGTAACAAATAAAACTAGGTGGTGGTGCGCACACCTTTAATCCAAGTGCTCAGGAGACAGAGGCATTTTTATCTCTGAGTTCATCTCTGATGAAGAGTGGAAGGGCCAGCCTGGTCTACAGAGTTCTAGGACAGCCAGGGCTACACAGATAAACCCTGTCTCTGGGTGGGGGTAGGGAGGGGAGCAGTAATAAATAAATGATCAGAACCTGAAGAAAGAAAGAAGGAAAGGAAGGAAGGAAGGAAGGAAGGAAGGAAGGAAGGAAGGAAAGAAGAGAGACAAGGATGGTAGTGAGGGAAGACAAACAAGAAGAAAAAGATGAGGCTGGGGAAATAGTTCATAGGGTAAAAATACTTGCCCTGATAGCATAAGGAACTGAACTCAAGTACTCAGGACCTACATAAGCTGGGCACTGTAGCATATACTTGTAATCCTAGCCCTCCTACAGCAGCAAACAAAGAAACCCTGTCCCTCCCAAAGTAAGTTGGAAGGTGAGGACCAATACTGGTGTTGTCCTAAGAACTCTACACATATGTGCTGTCAACAAGCTGCCACACTCACACACATTCACACATCTTACACATACACATATGCACACATCATTCAAGCACCACAACAGAAGAGTAAAACATCACGAACACTGATTAAAAGTGTGAGAGACAGAACTAAAAGTATTAAACATATGAATAGAAGAAGTCCATATAATCAAATGAGAAATGAAGGGGGGTCCTCACAGAGAGGAAACTAAGTAAAAAGAAGACTGGCTTGTTGAAAACCAAGGAAGGAATAGGCAAGTCCTTGCAACTTTTAGAAAATTTGTTGTCTTAACTAGGGTTTCTATTGTTGTGAAGAGACACCATGACCATGGCAACTCTTATAAAGGAAAACATTTAATTAAGGTGCATGCTTACAGTTTGTTTTTGTTTAGCTTATTCCTTTTCATTATAAATCTTCATCAGAGTTAAGACTAATAACAACACAACAAAGTCTAATCTAGGCTGCTTTGAGCTTTCTTCACCAAAATATCACAAGAATGATCTCTAGGCAACATACTAAAACTCTTCCCCTTTGAAACCTCTTGAGTGAGCCCCTGACAGTTCAAATCACTTTTAGCACCACTGTTTTCCATGTTTCTACTAGTATGGCCCATTAAGCAATGCTTAAAGCATTCCACTGCTTTCCAAACCCAAAGTGCCAAAGTCCAAATTCCTTAAAGAAAACAAAAACAAAAAAAACATGGTGAGGTCTATCACAAAAATACGCCAGTTTTTAGAACCAACTTCTGTCTTAGTTAGGGTTTCTATTACTATGAAGAGACCACATCAACTTTTATAAAGGAAACATTTAATTGAGTGTTGTGAGATATTTGATTATACTGTGTAAAACTATGCTACTGTGATTGGTTTAATAAAAAGCTAAATGGTCAATAGCTAGGCAGGAGGTATAGGTGAGAATTCCAAGGGGGAGTTGCCAGCCAGATGCTGAGGAAGCAGGATGAGCAGGAGTAGAGGTAAGAGCCACCAGCCATGTGGCAGCACCTAGATTAATAGAAATGGGCTAATTTAAGTTATAAGAGCTAGTTAGAAACATGACTAAGCTAAGGTTGAGCTTTCATAATTATTAAGAATCTCCATGTCATTATTTGCGAACTGGTAGTCAGGACAGAGAAAGACTCTTTACAATTGTGGGGGCTTTACAATTCAGAGGTCCAGTCCATTATCATCATGGTGGGAAGCATGGTGGCTTGTAGGCAGATGTGATGCTGAAGTAGTAGCTGAGAGTTGTACATCTTGCAGGCAACAGGAAGTTGATTGAGACACCAGACAGTATCCTGAGCATAGGAAGCCCTAAAACCCACCCCCACAGGGACACACTTCTTCCAACAAGGCCATGCCCACTCCAACGAAGGTACACCTTCAAGTAGTGCCACTCTCTATGAGATCATGGGGGCCAATTACATTCAAACAACCACATCTGTAATAAATTTATGCCAATATTGGGCTCATACTTTGATTCTAACTGCAAAACACAATAGTAAAATGTCTTGTGGCAAAAAAGGGCCAGTGATGAGTCCTAATACAGAGAGCATTCTGAGCATGGAATTTGAAGGACAAGGAAAGGAGGTGAGCAAAGCTTTGGGGAGGGGAGTGTCAGCCCTAGGCCTCAAGGCTGTTGATGAGCATGTTTCTGGGCAATGAAAGGGACCCTGGAAATAGGCCTGTGTGGAGGGAAAAGGAATTATTGTGTCTTGCAAGAAAGTCTGGCTTCCCTTGTGTCCATCAGCTGTCATAGCAGGCTGTACTGCAGCCTTCTCAGAGTCACCGGGAGAGGGGACAGATGATGACCCAGATCAGAGGACCAGCTAGGGTGGGTCACCCAGATGCAGTGAGAGGTAGGGAAGGACAAACAGGACAGGTGCACACTATGAGCCCCAGGAGGCTGAATGTAACCCGAGTTGCACTGGCTACAGGGATATGTGGCAATGTAACTGTCCATTCAATCAATATTTACCGAACACTCTTTATATCCCAGGCAGTGTGCCAGGCTTGGGGCTTGGTGCTGGCAATGGGAAATAATAAAGTATTTCCTGATTTCTCCCCTAGAGAAAGAATTAGAGATGTGGTTTCATTGGCCCAGGCTGACCAGCACTGTGTGTGTAGAAGGCAGGCCTCTACTTGGACAGTACGGTTAGATGGGGGCCGAGAGGCTTAGACGATCTTAACAGCATTTGTGGAATTTGTGTTTCTTGTCTGTGTATGTGTGTACATGTGTACACACCTCTGGAGCACAGGAATCTTCCTCGATTGCTTACTACTGTAGTCTTTAAGATAGAGTGTCTCACTGACTCCGAAGCTTGCTGATTCAGCTAGACTAACTGGCTTGTAAGCCCAGAGAGAGTCCTGCCTCTGTTTCTCCAGGGCTGGGATTACAGGTGGGTATCACAGCTCAGTTTTTTCTGGGGTACTAGGCATCAAACTGAGGTCCTCATATTTGCACAGTAACCGCTTTACCAGCTGAGGCATCTCCCCGGCCTGTTTCATCTATTTTCTAGTTTCAACTTAGTACCATTTATATTTGATAAAGTATCTGTTTTGTGTTGTTTTATAAATATTTCCTAGAAATGCAGTTATGACATGGGGTGATGTTGAAATTTGATTTCCAGCCCTCAAAGTAACAGTGTGTTCAGATTGCTGGATTTAAGAAGTAAGTTTCGCCGGGCGTTGGTGGCACATGCCTTTAATCCCAGTACTCGGAAGGCAGAGGCAGGCGGATCTCTGTGAGTTCGAGGCCAGCCTGGTCTCCAAAGCGAGTGCCAGGATATACTCCAAAGCTACACAGAGAAACCCTGTCTCGAAAAACAAAACAAAAAACAAACAAACAAACAAAAGTAAGTTTGAAGTCACTCAGGAGAAGCAGAAAGTGGGTGAAGGAAGAGATGGTCCATTGCCACATTATCACAATCACAGTGAGAAGCTGCTTTGTAGTAAGAGGACTCTGCACTATTGCCAGGGGAGGGGTCAGGAGACAGCAGAATCTGCAGGGAGAATCCCATCCCCGACCCTCTAAGGTGCAATGCTTAGCAGCCATTTAAATTCAAAAGTGCATTTTCTTTCTAGATCATGGTGTGTGTCCCACTGGTCCAGCACAAGCAGTGCTGTAGGCTCACTCCTGTTCTCCCTGGCTAAAAGATTTCTCTCCATTCCTGATAGTGAATCCAAGAAGCAGAGCTGATGTAATCAACAGTCCTGGGCCCTTGACTTGCTTCATGAAATTGAGACGAATCCTCTAAGGAGCATTTGCCATTGGGAAATTGTTTTTGTTGGTAATAACTTGTAGTAGTTAGGAGTCCATCACTTGATGCAGCCCTCTTTATTGCCTTCGAGAGTAACTCCAATTATTCTAACAGAAACAACATCACACCAGTAGAAAGAATAGGAGAATGAATGGTAACTGGAGGAAGAAGAAAAATGTCCTTTAAGCACAGCCAAATTTGCCTATATGGTGACAAATACTGTTTCTAGTTAGAAAAAATGTCAACTTCTGCCTTAATATAAACTATGTGGATTCCATGAGCCGGAAGCCTTTAGGAGTCACTTAAAATCTTCCCAGATCTGTTTCCTCCATTCAGTCTCAGTCCTACACCCGTTAAGAATTCAGAGAATCTCATTGCTACAAAGACTCTCAAAGCAGCAGCCGTGTGAGCGAGCCAGTGTCAACACTTGGTAACTGCTTCCTGGACAACAGACGTTTTGCAATCCCCTTACATGTATCAACCCCTCCCGTGTTCATCCAAGTCTAGGAAGCAGGTGTTGTCACGGTCTCCCTTTCATAGGGGAGGAAACTGAGGCCACACATTGTCTAAGAACTTAGAGGTACAGAATGACAATCAGGGTTCTCACCCAGGCTGTGGGACCCCAGAGCTTGGGCTTGGAGGCACGCACTGCAGGCCACCCCCTGGCCTGGCGATCTTGGCTCACATTCTCAGAGCAAACGGTTTACTAAAGCAGTACTTAGGTCTGTTTACGTGTCTGGCACCCCTCTGTTGGATGATTATGCATTGCCACTGGAAGCTGTTAGGTTTGTTTCTGAAACTGACAAGTTTAGTTTTAAAAATGATTCATCTTTCTCTGCTCCTTTTCCCCACCAGCTGCAGTTGTTTGGATAATACCCTCTTCAGAACAACAGCGAAGCAGAGCTACTTTTGTAAGAGTGGATGGTAGAAGAGTCCTCACTCAAACATTTGGGTTTCTTTCTTAATTAAAAAATATTGTTATCTTTATTTGTGTCTACACATGTGTGTATATGCACGTGCGTCTGTGTATAGACTCCAGCTGAGCCCGGATGAGAACACCAGATCCCCTGGAGCTGGGGTTACAAGTGGTTGTGAGTTGTCTGACATGGGTACTGGTGTTAAAACTTGGGTCCTCTTCAAGAGCTGTAAGTGCTCTTATCGACTGAGCCATCTCTCCAGACCATGGAACTTGTATTAGCATGCGTGAATTGCCATACTGCAAAGGCAATGCACAGCCTTTGCCATTAGTAGTCCACACTGATGCATAGGCAACAGAACCTTCCTAAATATCAAAAGGTATCTTTCTTTTCCTTTCCAGTTATTTTTTTAAATCAATACACAATTCCCTTTATTCCTCCAATGACTGATAAAACATGATCATGCCCTTTCATGATCAGTATCACTAGGGGACAATCAGACAAAATAAGTGGATAGGAGAACATTAAGACATTAATAGGACGTGGTGGTACATGCCTGTAATCCCAGCTCTAGGGAGGGGGGAGGAAGAACAAGAAGTTCAAGGCCAGGCTCTCTGTACAATGAGCTTGGAGCCAGCCTAGGTTAATTTTTTTTATGTATGTAATTTTCATAAACACACACACACACACACACACACACACACACACACACACACACACAATTTCCTATTGATTTGTGATGTTTTTCAACCCTTCCTTTAGTGACTTCGGCTATTTTACCCCACTTCTGCTAGGTCTAAAAGTGGGAAGAGAAACTCATCTCATTGTTATTATTTTGCCCCCATGCTCCATTTCTGTGAGGCTGGGGATGGCACCTGGGGTTTCATGCATACTAGGCAAGCACCCCATCAACAGAGCTCATTACCAGTTTTTGCATACGTAAGACACACGAGGAATACTTTCTTGTAACCTTTCGCCTTCCGTGATGAGGAAAGGAGCACCGAGCATCTGCCTGTATGTGGAGAAGGGACCTGGGAATATTGTTTTGGTTTCCTTTGTGAGATCACAGAGAAGCAAGAAGATACTGTGCTAAGTTTCAGACAGTCATGCCTGCTTAAAATTTTGTTGTGAGTTTTAGAATGTACTTGTACCATAGTGTCCTAGTTAGGAAACTCTTGATTCTTAATTATTTATCTTTTAAAATATATTTCATTTCATTTATCCTTTTTATTTTATTATTTTTATGTGTTTAGAGGTCTCTCCTTCCATATGGGTTCCTGGAATAGAACACAACTGGTCAGGCTTGGCAGCAGGGACCTTTTCCCCGATGAGCCGCCCCTCCCCCCAATCAGTGACCTTATACCCAGAGTTTCTTTCTTTTCTATTATTTTGTTTTGACAGTCATAAGTAGTCCAGGCCCCAAAAATCACAATTTAGCCAAGGATAACCTTGAACTCCTCCTGTTTCTTCAGTCTCCACCTCCCAAGATCTGTGAATACAACCTTGTGGCCCCACATTTCTTGAATATGCAGTTTAGTAAGTGAACAGTAGGTGCTCCGAATGGGATTAGAGGTAAACAGCCGGGACCCTCCCTTTTCTCCAGTCCAGGATGCTGAAAGGTAGAGAAGGGAGCTGCCCCTGCAAGAAAGACCCCAACATTATCCCTCTTGTTATTTAGGTGATATTCTATACTCTCCAAAGTGAGAAACGCCTCAGACACAGAGCTGAGACTCAGTTAAATCAAAGGCAAAGGGGCCTGAGAGAGTAGGCAGGCAAAGAGGGAGGGATATGGAGGGGTTGGTGTGAGGGTCACCTCCTCCAAAGAAGTAAACAGACCTCTCTCCCTCCCTCTTGATTTAAGGGAAGTTCATCCCAGTTGAAGTGTGTCCAGTTCACTGTGGCTGGTTTACAAGCCATTCTAGACAATTATACCCTGGCACAAAATTAGCAGCTTTATTTTTCAGTAAAAAGAAACCCAGAGGCATAGTTTACTATGAAAATATGGTCCAAGTGAGACTTTTCTTCATGGGTTTTTGAGTAAATATAGATCTCACATATAGAAATTAGATGGTTAGACATATGAGCTCAGTAATGGGGAGTGAATGGTATTTCTTAAGAAAAAGTTAACAGATCATGACATTTTAAAAGTTAAAAAGACTGGGTGGTGGCAGTGAAAGTGCTTTTAATCTCAACACCCTGGAGGCAGAGGCAGGTGGATTTTTGTGAGTTTGAAGCCAGTCTGGGCTACAGAGTGAGTTCCAGGCCAGCCAAGGCTACATAAGGGAAAAAGAAAGATTTTCCTTACTTTTGTGATGTGTGTGTGTGTGTGTGTGTGTGTGTGTGTGTGTGTGTGTGTGTGTGTGTGTGTGTGGCTATGAAAACCAGTAAAAAGTGCCAGTTTCCTTAGTGCTGCTGTTACAGTCATATATGAGCTGCCCAACATGGGTACTAGGAACTAAATTCTGGTTCTCTACAAGAGCAGCAATAGCTCTTAAACACTAAGCCATCTCTTCGGTCCCTTGTTTATTTTTTGAGACAGGATCTCCCATAGCCCAGACTGTCCTTGAATTCATTACAAAACCGAGGATGGCCTTAACTTTCTGATCCTCCTGCCTCCACTCTGAATACTGTGATTATAAGTGTGTGCGGTCATACCTGGCTGTGTGGTTTCGAGGATTTGAAGCCAGGGCTGGGCAAGCATTCTGCCAAGTGGGCTGGTTACCCTATCTACTAAAAAAATATTTCTGGCGGTAGGAGGGTGTCTCATTAACATAAAAGCCAAATAACTCGGAAGAGAAAATTTGCCACTTTTTGGCCACAGTAGCAGCTCTGAAGTGGGATTTTATATTGTGGTGGCCAGGCCAGTAATATGCTGATGATATAGAAATGTAAGAGCATATTCTACTAAATCAGTCAGAGGTTGAGAAATCTATGAATTATGCTGGAGAGCCTGACAGAGCTTTATGTAGTTCAAAGAGCTGGTAAAGACAGAAGTAAGCTCAGGTGAACGCAGCCACTGGCTTTCTCTCAAGCCCCTGGTGTTCTTCAAATGTATCAGCTTTACTACTAACAGCTGTGCAGCAACTGTAACCAAAGTTCTATTTGCTTCCTGGGCTGGGGGTTGGTGGCCATCGCCTTTAATCCCAGCACTTGGGAGGCAGAGGCAGGCAGATCTCTGTGAGTTCGAGCCAGTCTGGTCTCCAGAGCAAGTGCCAGGATAGGCTCCAAAGCTACACAGAGAAACCCTGTCTCGAAAAACCTAAATAAATAAATAAATAAATAAATAAATAAATAAATAAATAAAAAGGGGGAAGTTGCAGAGAAAACAGCTTTTTATCCAACGGCAGGAAGAGCCGGTCCTTTGCTGTTTGATTGGCCTGGATTGTTGCCCACCATTCAGGAGATAGTTCATGTCAGTGGCTCTCAAACTTCCTAATGCTGAGACCCTTTAATACAGTTCCTCATGTTGCAGTGACCCCCAACCATAGAATGATTTTTGTTGCTGCTTCATAAATGTGATTTTGCTATTGTTAGGAATTGTACTGTAAATATCTGTGTTTTCTGATAGTCTTAGGCGAGCTTTGGAAGGGGCTGAGATCCATGGGTTGAGTGAGAGCCACTGGTTTATGCAATGTTTTTGTTAACCTGTGTTTCATGGTACACTAATTTCTTGACACCTCTCTTAACGGTCATTTGTATTTCCAAATATTGACTTCAAACTTAAAAAAAAAATAGGGAACCTCCCTTCTACAATCACAGAATGCTAGAACAAAAGAGAACTGAAAGATGACTTTGTATGGGCCACCATTTTATAGATGAAGAAACATGCTCAGAGTAACGCCCTGATGCCTCATGGAGCAGGGGCACGGCAAGCCTGGAGTGCCCTCTCCTCACTCAGACCCATGCTCAGCATCCATAGCACAAGGACTGCCTCTCATTGACTGGCGAATGAGTGCGAGGAGCTGGGGAGCTAGAAATGAAAGTCACACAGCACTTGACACCCAAGAGCTCAGAATCCAGAAGAGAAAGTAGATGTGCACACTACCCTCTGTGTAGCGTTTGTAAAACACCGACTGTATCAGCGCTGGCTTAAAACCCACTCCGTGAAGCAAACCTCCTCATCAACTTCTTGTCTGTGCTGATGCCCAAAACCTAGCCATGAGCTGCTGTTTCCTGGCATAGCACAATGTATCATTCCACCTGGCTTTTGCTCACACTGTCCTCTCCCTTATTTTATTCTCCACAGTATTCTGCCCACACTTCTAGAGCCAGCCATGGTAGAGCTTTTGTAACACTGACTGTATCTACTATTTGTACTTCCATCTTTCTCTGCCAACCTAATGTAAGACCTTTGGTTTTTTTGTACCCCTAGCATCTGGCTTACAGAACTTCTGCTGAATGAATCACACAAAGAAGGCATTACAAGGTTGTACAAATGCTCTGGGTGAAGCAGTGGTCTGTGTTCGGAGTACGGAAGTCATCCCAGAAGCCTCAGTGCAGGCATCAAGGTAATGAACAGTAGTAGAGGGCAGAATAGCGACTGATTGCAGGAAAGGAGTGTCACAACAGTTGGGGCGCTGAGAAATGGTAGCATGTTTGTGAAATGTTGAGGTATCCAAGAGAAGACGTTTCGGTGGTTTTTGCTGTTGTTATTGTTAAACTGGGAGTGCTTATATATACTAGTCAGGCCCCGTGTGAAAAGAAAAAGCCTGATTTGAGAGAGAGAGAGAGAGAGAGAGAGAGAGAGAGAGAGAGATATGTTTTGAAGGTCAGTAGCATTGTCTCTGAACGTTAACACAGTCTATTAGGGAATGGGAGAGTCTGGAAGACAGGCAGCGGAATCCAGGTAAGACTTTGCTGTAATAAGGACCAGAGAACTAAGAATGGTCCAGGGGAGAAAGGATGAAGGCCTGAACAGAGAAGAGATGGAGAGAGAGAGAAAAAAAAAACAGTTGGAGAAATAAGCACAGTGGTGATGGAACAGTGAGTGGCAACTGGCTGAAGATGAGACATGCATGGTGGGAAACTCGGGGTCAGGAGTGACTCCAAGAGTTTATCTTGAATGTTTAC